TGCTTGGTAGGTGAAAGCAGGCTCCCTGGCTTAGTGGGAAATGCTTGTCCAAGTGAGAATTAGGATTGAGTTTCAGCCTTGGGGCTCACCATTTCTATGACCTTGAGAAGTCAGCGTACTCCAGGACATGGCATTACCAATTACCTGACTCACCTGTACCCAGGGATTACACTCAGCTGATAAGGCTGTACCAGTTATTAGAATATCAAGCCAATTCCATGACAGCTGGGTAAACAGTCTTCGCCCAGCCGCTGGGTGCCATCCTAACCACCTTCTTCTCTCACCTAAAGCCCCCAGATCTCCCCTATGGGTGAATGGACCTCAGGAGGCCTCCAGAATGCTACTTTGGTACCGCCGCTGTACTTTTTCTGATTAGTCTGCGCACTCCGGTCTTACCTGCTGATATTGTGAATATCACCCCTTTCTCTGCCATAAGGTTGGGGTGACACCCAATGACACAGTTCATGCAAACACTTTGCACACTGTAAAGGGCTGAATGCCGTGCACTGTACGTGCTGTGTGCGACCCCTGGAAGGGATCAGAGCTGTTAAGCAGAGGAGCCTGCTTCTCCACTGCAGCTTACCCAAAGGTTGGGGAAGGATCGGTTTGATATGTTCCAGAGCTTACTGAAAAGAGCCCACACAGAACTTCGGCTGGGTCCCAGGATAGCAAGAAGGATGCGTTCTCACAAAGCATCCTTAGAAAGGTTTGTCTGAATTCCTGGGCGCCACAGCCTGGGATTCAATTTGCAGCTCTTTTAGGCACAAACACCATCAGCTGTGCTTGCCCTGCCCAGCCCTATAGTTCACAGTTAGAAGCCCATTTTAGACACTCTTAGCTTTACAGGTGCCTCCCTCGGTAGGACAAGAGCAGTGGGGAAGAAAGGGCAAGGCGAGGAGAGGGGGCTGGCGGGAAAGAGGGTTTGCACAATCTGGTATTTATGGAAAATTGGATGTGCTAATGAACCTGAGATCCATCAGGGCTTTCTGAAGGCAGGACAGTCTCTGTCAACAGACCAATTAGCACACAATTATTTTCCCTTTCTGAAAGCTTATCTGAGATGCTCTTTGAACGCGTGTACCTGAGTGAACTGCACTTTCCATTACTTCTGTGGGCCTTGTTTGTAACCTGCCACAGCTGGCTGCCTCTGCTACAGAGAAAGCACAGTTCTCTGGACTGACTGTCCAGAGTCTCTGGAACTCCGAACACTTGGGGAAAGGGGTCTTTAGGTGTCCTGCTTATCAAGTCAGTGCCCAGGGAATAGCTGTAAGAGGACCCTCCCCAGCTCCCTTTCTCCTTCCCATCTCCTTAGGTCTCTAAGAAGATCAGAGGTGGCTCAAGGTAGAACAGCAGTGGAAAGAGCAATGACTTTAGGATCTAGCATGATCTGAGTGGGCCTTCTTCCCTCTCGGAGATCTGGCTTGGCTCCTTCCCTCGAAGGAAATGAGCGTGGGAATCATAGCCTTTGTCTCTTCCTCATTCCTGTCCTTGAGCTAAGATGAACAAAGGGAAGCTACCCAGATCTTTTCAATGATTTACCTGATTGTCCTCTTGTGGAGCTGACCTTTGGGAATAGCAAAGTGAAGGTCAGAAATCAGCGTCAGAACTAGACCGGCATGCTGCGTGAGATGGTGGCAGTGGTGGGGAAGCAGATGGATCTATGTAGGTGGGGATTGTGGGGGGAGAGAGGCGAGGGGAGCGGCTGCTCGCTGTTCTCCTTGGCTGGTCATCCTACTCCTACAGAAGGCATGTAGCTCCCACCCTGCCTGGACTTGAGGCTGGTGAGCAACCAACTTAGGGGTGGGTGGATGGAAGAGCCAGTGCAGAGCTCAGTGACCGTGTGGTGGCCAGCTTACCTGGAGGTGGGGAAATGCAAGTGTCCTAAATACCACACCCACCCACCATCTACCCCACCATTCCCCACTGCCCTTCAGTCCATCCCACTCCAGAAGAGCTGGGTCAGTCCTCAGCCAGGGCTCCTTACACAGGGATTCTTACACCATAGAGATGAACTCACCTTGAAAGAAGCCTGGTTTTGCCTTCCCCCTGAGGTTTGACAGCCAGTCACCCATCAATACAGAGCCATTACCTGGCACCGGGCGCCCACCTGTGGAGGGACGCAGGCCCAAGTGTAACAGCCCGAATGCTGGGATTAGAGAAACATGTTTCCACTTGTCTGTAAACTCCTTATGGCAGTGACTTGCCTTACACTGAGTTCTGGATGCTCCTTGCATATTTGTTACATTGAATAAATGAGTGAGTGAAAGAATGTATGAATGCATTGAATGAATCCTAGCCGTGCAGGTTAACTAGATGTGTGACTTTGAGTAAATCATTTAACTCATCTGGCCACGGTTTCCTCATCTGTAATATTAGGAGACTGTGGTCTCAAGTCTATATAATTTGCTTTGCCCTGTGTTCACATTCTGAACAGAGGGCAGATCACTAAACTATTTGGGATGAACTGCTCTCTTTATACCTGTTTTGAGAAGTGATGTCATCCAAAGGGGGTTAATTCACTATTTTCTGTGGTCCTTTGACGCATCCTCACAGGAGACAGGAGGAACACTGATGGGCCTGAGGATCCCCACATTAAAATCCTGTTTTAGCTACTCACAGCTCTGTGGCCTTGGGCCTCATAACTCTGTGAACCTTGGTTTCCTTCTTTGGAGAGTGATGGTAGTGAGACTGTCTCAGAGTTTTTGTGAAGTTAAATGGGATGATATTGGAGGATGAACTCGCAACTGCAGAAAAGTCATCACTGCCTCTGTCAATGGTCTTGGTCCTGTTCTTGATGAGGGCTGGGTTCTGCTGCTTTTCTTGCACTGGGGCTGCCCCTCTGTCTTTTTATTTTTTTTTTAAATAAATTTATTTTTTATTGGTGTTCAATTTGCCAACATACAGAATAACACCCAGTGCTCATCCCGTCAAGTGCCCCCCTCAGTGCCCGTCACCCATTCACCCCCACCCCCTGCCCTCCTCCCCTTCCACCACCCCTAGTTCGTTTCCCAGAGTTAGGAGTCTTTATGTTCTGTCTCCCTTTCTGATATTTCCCACACATTTCTTCTCCCTTCCCTTATATTCCCTTTCACTATTTGCCCGTCTGTCTTTGTCTGTAATTATCTCTCTCCTAGTTCCCTCCTCCTTTCCCTCCATTCCTATTTATCCTTCGTGGTTCACCTCCTCCATGAAGCCTTCTCAGACTACTTTAAGTCCCCAGGATCTCTCCCATCTCCCTACTGTATTTCTAGTCAGTATCAAACCATCCTTCATTTAATTACTCTGTTCCATGAGTAATTTTTAAGACTAAAAATACTAGATTCTATTTATTTATTTATTTATTTATTTATTTATTTATTTATTTATTTATTTATTATTTTTAGATTCCCTTTAGAATTGTCATTTATACTTGGCTCTTTACTTGGTGACTTCACCCTGGTCACTTGCAGGGTGCTAGACTTTTTCACTGCATGCAGCCCAGCCTGTGTGTTGTAGCTCACGCTGCCCCTTCTCCCTGTTCTCAGAGTACTTTCCTTTCCCCTTCTACTTTCCTTTGTTATTACTTATTTCAGTTTTATTTTAATTCCAGTAGAGTTGGCATACAGTGTACAATACAGTGATTCAACGGACTTCTACTTATTTTTAAGGACCAGCTCAGTTGAGTCTCCTCTGCTGCTGTTTCCTCTGTGCTCCCTTTGTCTGGAGCTGTGTTTTCTTCTGTGCTCATTGACACATGGCTTCTCCACTCGGATGCATGTCTGTCAGTTGAATGTACACCTGCCTCACCCGCGGGGTGTGATTTCCCGGAGGACACAGCACATAACTTGGGCATCTCTCTGCTCACCTCTCTACCCTGCAAAGCCTGGAACATATTAGAACATATTCTAATAATTTAGAACATGCTCTAAGTTATTGAGCATCTACCGTGTGCCAGGCACTGTGTTAATTGTTGTTGACAACATGGTGAATAAAACAATGATGAGCTTACTCCTGTGGAGCCTTTAGTGTGTGGAGGACCCAGACTCTAACCATGTACTCATGGGAAAGGATGAGCAAGTGCAGCATCTGTGCCTGCTGCAGAGCGGAGGTGACTGGAGCCAGGAGAGGCCAGAGGTATCAGGGTTGACTCCTTGAAGAAATCCAGGAGAGGCGCTCTGTGAATGTTTGACGAATTGTATGGAATTGAACGTGGCTGCTCAATAAATACTCGTTGATTGGTTGATTGATTGTTGGCAGAGCTTTCGGAGATCCTGAGAAGAAAGGGCCGCGGGTCCCCATCATTCTTATTAGGGAATTATTTCAGTGCATTTAAGGACTCCCATTCTTCATCTTCTACTTTAAAAACATCAGGGTAAAACGGATAGGCCAACTTTATAATATTTCAAAATGATTCTGTGGTGTTTTGGAATATTACATGGCTGTAAGAGTTTATGTATATTTAATATACTTATTAAAATATGCAGGAAGCCCATGGCTGATTTTCTCTGAGGACGTCTCAGTGCCGAGGTGGGACTTAAATGTTTAATACTAATAATAATACTCATAACTCATATTTCTCTAGTGCTTTTCATCTTCGGGATCCCTAAAGCCTGTGAGCACCACGTCAAGTGGATGCAGCTGGGTGCACCAGCCGGCTGACAGCATCCACATCTGGCCTCCTGTCTCCCTCTGGGGCAGGAGAAGGGGGGACTCGAGCTCAGAGGTCCAGCTTCCTCTGCCCACGTTGAATTTTCTCTTCCCGGAGGCAAATTCCCTTTGGCTCCCTCGGAAAGCCCCCCCACTGGGTACAACTGCCACCGCCAGCCCTTCCGCCCCTGACACTCACTGTGTTAGAACAAGGAAGGAGAGTGGCTTTATGCTCCTGGGCCAGGAAGACACCTGCCACTCTTGGGCCACTTAAGGATAGGCTGCGGGGCCTGAGGTCAGGTGGCTGGGGAGGGATGTGTGGAGGGATGGTTTCCACTTGGTGTCTCAATCCACATGACACCCTGCTTCTCTAGGTCACGGAGACCAGGACTGGCCCCTTGGGCTGCAGCAACTACGACAATCTGGACTCTGTGAGCTCGGTCCTGGTGCAGAGTCCGGAGAACAAAGTGCAGCTGCTCGGTAAGCTATCCTGTGATGGGGTGGGTGTTAGCTCTGGGTCCCCGAGGAGCAGGAAGGAGTCCCATGTGCTTCATTTGGCCAAACCCTTCCTGAGACCAGAACCACTAGGAGTTCTGGGACCTGTATGGCATCACTTTCCCTCATTCTTTTTGTTTGGTTGGGGTTTTTTTTTTTTTTGTTTTTTTCCCCCCATTCTTTTGAGAAAACTTCTGATATGGTTTACCTGCACCCGAGACCATTGTTCATACCACATGATGCCCACACCCTCCCACATTCTAGTCCTCCCCAAGACTGTCTACAGCAAGACCACATCCATACCTTGGCCCAGTCTGATGATCTCCTTTGTTGTCTTGTCCTAAGGACACCTTAGGGAACAGCTAGCCTTTGCAGAGTGGTTATGGGGCCACCATCTCTAGCTCAACTAAGAGCTTTCCAAACTGTGGGATCATTGGCTACCCTGAGTGGTCTCTACTTTCTGTGAGTAATCTATAGTCTCTCCCATGGGAGATTGGAGCCAGGAAAACAGTTTGAGAGGCATGGGAGCCTCCACTGGAGACAGAGCTGGACAAGACAGGCTTGCAAACAGGCCAGCAAAAAGACTGGGGATGACACTAGGTCTGGAGTCTGGGAGGTAGGGGGAGGTGCTCAGCTCCCGCTGCCTGTTCCCCAAGCATCCTGGGACAGGGCCATGCAAACCGATTCAGACAGAGCTGTTTGGCAATGGGAAAAGTTCATTTTTCTTAAGGCCTAACTGAACTGGACTCTGTTTAAGATATTATTATCTTGGTATTATAAAATCAATAGCCCTCACCCAGGATCTACGATTACAAATTCCAGGTAACCTGAGCCAGATGCAACCCATCGGTGCTTTCGGAATCAAGGAATATATAACAAAAAGGAGTAAAAGACTCCTTTATTTAGAGCCACCTAATGCAAAAAAAAAAAAAAAAAAAGAGCCACCTAATGCAATTAGCATCCCTCTTCTCTGGTGTCCCTAGATGGGCTGGGTTTGTGTCTAGAAATTAGTGATGAGTGAAGTTCAGAATGTCTGGTGGTTCATTTGGAATAGTTTATGCCATTTAATTTTATAGCCCATCACTCATGCAGACATTGCTCGGGGCACTTATTTTATAGCAATGGGAAATGTTATGGTGAGGAGAAGGGAGGTAGTTGGGAGGTGGAGAGAAAGGACTTGGGAGGGTGTGTGTTGGAAGCAAGTGCATGGACAAGGTGTGCAGGGTAGGCTGCTCAAGTGCCAGTGTGGGTGCAACATCAAGGAGGAAAGATTTAGGAGCAGTTCAGAATAGGAGCCGGATCTCAAACAGGAACAACGGACATCCATTGCTGCTGCATTTCTAAGTTCTGTTTTGAGGTCTGCTGAGACTAGGATACCTACTTTGGGCTCTGTGATTTCCTGCCAAGGACGAGGTCAAGGGTGTGACAATAAAGAGCTGGCAGATATTTGAGAAGAGGGGAGCTCACCTCATCCAGAAGTTTCTCCTGTTCCTCATCCTCCGGGCAAAATCTCTCACAATGCCCCCACTGGGGTGGCCTCTTGCAGGTCTGACCTCGAGCCTGGCCCAGCAGCATCCAAAGAAGAGCCCGTCCTTCATTCATCTCTTGATATGCTTCCAACAGCCACCCTGTGTGGCTTGAAGCTGAATAGGAATATATTCTGTTACTGGTAAACTAATATCCACCACAGATGGGTAGGAAAACTGAAGCTTGGAGCAATTTAGTGGATTCTATCCAAGATCAGAGGCAGCTAATTAGAAAAGAGAGCTGAGAGCCATTCATATCTACTCAGGCTTGACCGAACTTAGGATGCCTACCACCATCTAACTTTCAAATCTTAAGAGTTAAAGCATATTGAGACAGGGGCAGCCAGTCCCAGTTATGCAGTATGACCTGATGGTGCAAGGGTAGGGTCTGACACCAAGCCACCTTTACCAGCCCTGTGACTTGGGCAGGTCACTGTGGCCACAGAGCTCAGATTTCCTCACCTATAGGAAGAAACATCTGGCCTCACTCTGCCCATGTTACTTGTGATCATATATGGAAAGTACTGGGTATGGTGTCTGGCCACTACATTACCAGCAAAACCTTTCCCTACTTCCTAACCAGAGCAGCCTCCTTTGTCATCAGGGCTGGGGTGGGAGGCCCAGGAGGGTCAGCATAACATCTTAGGATGGCTGCTACTCACCTCAGTGAAGCCAGAAACAGGATGGCTATCGGAAGCAGAGCAAAAAAGCCCATCAAGCCTTGATTCCTCCCCAAGAGGGCTGTAAGCTCTTCTTTTATTCGAAACATCGTCCCATTCCCATCCTAGAAATGCTGATACATAGCCAATAAGGCCATTCATATGGTATGCATGCTCTCAATTTGGCTGATGTGAGGGGTTCGACTAAGCCTTGGGCTTTGATGGTCCTCATCTGCATTTTCAGATCCTCTCCCACCTGTCACAGGGGCAGTGATAGCCCTTCTACCCCACCAGCTCCGTAGGGTCAGGCCCCGGGGTGACTGACCATTCTTGGGCCCAGAATGATGCACGAGTCAGCAGAACACCAACTGGGGATCCTGAAGCCTCGAGTGTGGGAAACCGAGTCCCTTCTGGTCCTGCCCCACAATTCCCGGACACGTCCTTTCCCTAGGCCTGCAGGTGCTGCTGCCCGAGTACCTGCGTGAGCGCTTTGTGGCCGCGGCCCTCAGCTACATCACGTGCAGCTCTGAAGGCGAGCTCGTCTGCAAGGGCAATGACTGTTGGTGCAAATGCAGCCCCACCTTCCCGGAATGCAACTGTCCCGATGCTGACATCCAGGCCATGGAGGACAGCCTACTGCAGATCCAGGACTCTTGGGTGACCCACAACCGGCAGTTTGAGGAGTCAGGTGAGCAGTCGGCTGGCCCACATTTCCTCCCTGTCAGTGGAAAATGGATGTGAGGTACAGGCCCAGCATGTGGGGAACTCAGCTTGGATCCTGGCTCACCCACTTGCTGTCTCTGGGAGCCTAGGAGGTTATATCACCACCTCAAGTCTCAAGGGATTATCTTTTGTTGTCTATGCAAATGGACATAACTCCTACCAAGGAGATGTATTTTGAGGACTTCCTAAGTTCAGGTGACTAGATTTGAGGGCGTAGGCCTTGCCTGTACGGTGTCTGCATGTACGGTGCAGAAGGAATGTCTGTTGAATGGTGATGTACATAGAATGCTTCTGGGAGGCACCCAGCACATGCTGAGTATGGCTTATCACAGGGACAACTAGTATCTGTGTTACCTTGAGATCTAGATTCAGGACTTGGTTTCGAGGCCTTGTTTTTGGTGATGGTTTGAATGTTTGCGTCCCCCCAAATTCATATGTTGGAAATATGATGTCCAGAGAAGTGGGGCCTTTGGGAGGTGATGTGGCATTAGTGCTCTTACAAAGGAGGCACCAGAAAGATCCCTCTTCCCTTCTGCCATGTGAAGACACAGTGAAAAGTTAGCCATATGTGACCCAGAAGAGGGCCTTCTCCAGGACCTGACCGAGCTGGCATCCTGATCTTGGACTCCCACTTTCTTGAACTATGAGAAATAAATTTTTGTTGTTTCTCAACCACCCAGTCTGTGGCATCTTCTGAAAGCAGCCTCCAAAGACTAAGGCACTCTGTTAGTAACCAGTTTTATGAGATTATGTGAGTCATACAGCTTCGCCATATCCCCACTTTCTCTTCTGTAAAAGAGGGAAAGTGATATTGATAGGTGGATGGAAGGCTCATATGGGATAATGTAGATAAAACTAACATGTAAATAACTCTGCCTGGTACATTCATACATTTCAACACTAAATGATAGTTATGTGGATGTAGTTCAGAAACACAATGTTGGTAAAACAAGGAAAAATGAAAAAGGTTATGTATTATATATACTACTATATAAACATAATACTATAGTAATATGTATTAAATATAATATGTATTTAGTACTATTTATATAATGCTTAAAAACATGGGATGCCTGGGTGGCTCAGCGGTTGAGCGTCTGCCTTTGGCTCAGCGTGTGATCCTGGGGTCCCGGAATCAAGTCCCTCATCGGGCTCCCAGCGAGGAGCCTGCCTCTCCTTCTGTCTATGTCTCTGCCTCTCTCTCCCTGTGTCTCCATGAATAAATAAATAAAATCTTAAAAAAAATACTAGCCAATACTTAATATTTTTTACAGGTAAATATATTTGTAGAAAACATTAAGAAATATATGGTAATGATAAAACATCTAAGAGAGTGGTTACATTGAGGTGGAGTTGGAGGGGAAGTTCAGAGCCTTCGATTACATATTTTCATTGTCTTATTTCTCAAAAACAAAACAGAACAAAAGTCTGAAGTCGATACAACAAAACGGCTAAATCTTGGTGGTGGGCACAGGGGGGTTCATCCTCTTATTCCCTGTGCTCTTTTGTGAGCTTAAACGTTTTAGCAAAAGAACTATGAGGAGTGCCTGGGTGGCTCCATTGGTTAAGTGTCTGACTCTGGATTTCAGGGCTCAGGTCATGGTCTCAGAGTCATGAGATCAAACCCTGCGTTGGGCTCTGCACTGGGCATGCAGCCTGCTTAAGATTCTCTTTCTGCTTCTTTCTGTCTCTAAAAAAACCAGAAAAGAAGAACATAGAAGCTAGTTGTTAACGTCATCACTAGGTATGATTCTCCAACCATTGGGGAAGAGGGTACGAATAACTAAGTGCTTGAGAAACCAGAATGAGCTGAGGCCCCAGGCATTGCGATTTCAAGTCCCAGACATGGCAGTTAACTGCTAAGGAGAATATTCCAGTCCTCACAATCCCAGCTACGCTGGAATAGTGATGCTGGCACATGTTCACTGATGCTTATTGTGGGACAGGATGTTGGGCTCCACCTCCATGAATTAGTTACTGCTACTGAGTAAATGGGGGCTATCTGGACCCCCACCAGGAGACAGTGGCTGCAGGTCCCAAGTAAAAGCACATCTGAGCATGAGTTCAGCAAACGTGTTGTGCCCACGAAGCTCTGAGAACTCAGGTTTGCAGTAGGCCCCCAGAACCAGAGAGCATCTTCCTTCTGGATTAGCTAGAAGAAAGAAGGGCTATCTGCCAAGAGCTGAAGCTTGAAAGCGTTCCAGAGTCAGAGAGAAGGATGTGGACGGGAGAGGCTGGGCTTGGGGACTGGAAGGTTTCTAAGAAGTTTTCTGAGCTGGGCACTCAGTCTCCCTGTGTCCACATTTGCCAGCTGTCCACTCTCCCCTTTGGGACTGCCCTACATCTCCCACAGTGTGTTTGTGGTGTGACAAAGAAGACAGCCTGTGATGGACGGTGTCATGAATGATGTATAAGGGGTTACCAAGGGAGAAAGTGGTGTGTCCCAAGGTCATTGGCAAAAGCAGTCCCTCTGGCTTGCTTGGGCAGTGACAGAAATCTTTTGAAATTCAGAAGCATGTTAGGGACAAGAAAGAGAGAAAAGAATCCTAAAGCTCTATTTTATGGTATGTTAATTATTTTCCATATAAAGCTGTTGAAAAAGAAATATATAAAAAGGGGCTGGGAGAGTGGCTATGAAGCCTCCTTTGTTACATGGCGGGGGGGTGCTTGCAAGGGCTGGCTGGGTCTGGGGGGGCGGTGCCCTCCTGCTCCCCGACCCCCAGGGTCTGCATGACACCCCTGCCCCCCGCTCCCCAAGTTCAGCTCCGTGTTCTTGCCCGCAGAGGAATTCCAGGCCCTGCTGAAGAGGCTGCCTGACGACAGGTTCCTGAACTCCACGGCCATCTCCCAGTTCTGGGCCGTGGACACCAGCCTTCAGCACCGCTACCAACAGCTGGGAGTCAGCCTGAAGCTGCTGGTCAAGAAGACACATCGCATTGTCCGCCGGCTCTTCAACCTCTGCAAGCGCTGCCACCGGCAGCCTCGCTTCCGCCTGCCCAAGGAGAGGTGAGCGCCCCAGCCGCCAGGGCCCAGGGCGGCCCCATCCCCGGGGCTGCAGGGGCCGGGGGGCGGAGGTAGAAGGCTCTCTGTCCAACTGGGAGATCTGGCAGTGGTGACCCACGTGAGGCCTTTGAGATCCCCCTGCTGTCACCTCCCCGTGTGTCATTCTCGATTCTGACTAGTGCGTGAAGCGAGAGAGAAAACAGAGAGAGGCTAATTTTACTTCTCTATAAATTGTAGTAGATTCAAATGTTATTCTAATCATACTCCAATTCTCACTCATCTCGGTTTTAAGACGTTTTTTAGGGAAGAAAGGGGTGGAGTTGGAGCTCACACTCCAATTGCATATGGTGAGAATACACACATCAGGTTTCTTCAAATGAGTGACTGCTCTCGGCCACAGAAGGAGGGGAAGCCAGGCCCTGCTGCCTTGGGAGCAGAGCGGGGCTGTCCAGTCAGAGACACTCCCTCATCCACCCCCTCATGCGCCCATTTACTTAATAAGTGCACGCAGCATATCCTAATTTTAAGCAGTGTATCGGGGGGCGGTATTTGTTCATTGAGAAGATATAATAAATATACAGAAACAGAAAAACTATAAAATTTTAACTATGTGGCAGCCACTTAAATTCATGTTGGTAGAACATAAATCAGAGGTGTAGTTTAGTAAAAGCAAGAGCTGGAGAGAAAAGCCACCTTGGAGAAGGAAGTCTGGGCCAGATTGTGTGGGAGAGATGGGAATGGTGCGCTGAGACGGGGCCTTGCGGGGTAGGGAAGGTACCCTGCAACCCAGAGCTGTGGCTCTGACTGAGGCGCTGGTAAAAGGGAAGCCTGAGTGGAGAACTCAGGCCAGCCAAGGCTTCCGGAAGGGGTTCCTTTTTTGTGTTTTCAACTAATCACTCTTAAGTGCTTACCAGGCACCAGGAACAATCCCGGTATCTGAGAATATGTTGGTGGATTACGCAGTGTCCTTGCTTTCGTGGCATCTGCAGAGAGGCCATCTGTGAACAAGGAGACGATAAACAATCAGTTTCCATCCTGATCCTTGCTGTGGATGACATAAAACAGAGCAGTGTGCTAGAGAGCGGAGGAGCAGTTCTTTTGAAAAGGGTGTCATGGAAGACCTCTTGGAGGAGCTATCAGAGGAGCTGAAATAGAAGCCTGAAGAGGAAGCCAGCTATAGAAGATTCCTGCTCTGGGTGGAAGAGAGACAGAAGCAGAGGGAATAGAAAGGACAGGGATGGTCAAGTAGGACAGAAACGGATGGGATGCCAGCAAGCTGGGAGAGCCAGTTGCTGGACAGTCTTCTCTGGAAGGCTGAAAGCCACAGAGGAGGTTTCCATACAGGCACATGGGAGATCTTCTGTAGGCTGTTGAGTAAGCGAGGGAGGTGGTACCAGGGAGGGATGAGCCTGGCTGCTTCCAGTACAAGCGTGATGTCAAGTATTGCTGGTGTTGATCCATCAGACATTGAGCTCTGGGCCTTAGTCATTCCAGAAGTGGTGCGGTAGGGTTTCCATCATTCAGAGAACCTGGGGCTTTATCTTTCTCATTACCTTTCCCACCTATTAGTCAACCCCCTCCTACCTTTGGGGTAGGGGTTGATCGCGATGTGTTCCTAGGACTCCTTATTCATTTTTACCTCCTTCCCAAAGGTCTTTGTCCTACTGGTGGAATCGAGTCCAGTCCCTGCTCTACTGTGGAGAGAGCACGTTCCCTGGCACCTTCCTGGAGCAGAGCCACAGCTGCACCTGCCCCTATGACCAGTCCTCCTGCCAGGGCCCCATCCCGTGTGCCTTGGGGGAGGGGCCAGCGTGCGCCCACTGTGCTCCGGACAACAGCACGCGCTGTGGGGGCTGTAACCCAGGCTATGTGCTAGCCCAGGGCTTGTGCCGGCCAGAGGTGGCTGAGTCCCTGGAGAACTTTCTGGGGCTAGAGACAGACCTGCAGGACCTGGAGCTGAAGTACCTGCTGCAGAAGCGGGACAGCCGCATTGAGGTGCACTCCATCTTTATCAGCAACGACATGCGTCTGGGCAGCTGGTTCGACCCTTCCTGGAGGAAGCGCATGCTGCTCACCCTGAAGAGCAACAAATACAAGCCTGGGCTAGTGCACGTGATGCTGGCCCTGTCCCTGCAGATCTGCCTCACCAAGAACAGCACCCTGGAGCCTGTCATGGCCATCTATGTCAACCCTTTTGGGGGCAGCCACTCTGAGAGCTGGTTCATGCCTGTGAATGAGGGCAGCTTCCCCGACTGGGAGAGGACTAACGTGGATGCAGCCGCCCAGTGCCGAAACTGGACGATCACCTTGGGAAACAGGTGGAAGACCTTCTTTGAGACTGTCCACGTTTACCTCCGGAGCCGAATCAAGTCCCTGGATGACAGCTCCAATGAGACAATCTACTATGAGCCCCTGGAGATGACCGATCCCTCCAAGAACTTAGGATACATGAAAATCAACACCTTGCAGGTCTTTGGCTACAGCCTACCTTTTGACCCGGATGCTATCCGGGACTTAATTCTCCAGTTAGACTACCCATACACTCAAGGTTCCCAGGACTCTGCCCTCTTGCAGCTCATAGAGCTTAGGGACCGGGTAAACCAGCTTTCTCCACCTGGCAAGGTCCGGCTTGACCTTTTCTCCTGCCTGCTCCGGCATCGGCTCAAACTGGCCAACAACGAGGTGGGCAGGATCCAGTCCTCCCTGAGGGCTTTCAATTCCAAGCTGCCAAACCCTGTGGAGTATGAGACAGGCAAACTCTGTAGCTAATGGGGGCCCCCTTCCAGTGCTGGGCAGGGAGGTGATCCAGGGTGATCCATGAAATCCAGGGTGCAAAGATCATCCAAGCCCTCACCTTAGTGCCAACAGGGTTCTCCCTTGAGACTTTCAGCACCCAGCAGACAGGACCTCAGGGCTTGGACTGAAGCAGGCAGGAGAGAAAGGAAGCGCTACTGCACACGTGCACATGCTCACGATGTGCATGTGCGAGCACACACACACACACGCGTGCAAACACACACACTCTCACTCACACAGGGAGGCTACCCCTGAGCAGCCTCAAATCTGTAAAGTCGGTGCTTTCAAATGAATGCAGTTGAAAGAGAGGAGCCAAGGGAGAGATTAAGAAAAAGAACCAGCCAAACCATGAAAAAACAAATCCTTAAAAGTGATTCTTATCATTCAAGAAGGCAAGAGGGGGCACAGCGGTAGGAGTGGGAGTAGCTCCTCCTCCCTCTCCGTGGAGTCACTTTTGTATTCTTTTTAACCAGATTTCTTAAAATGGCGTTGTTTCGTGATTCCCCACGTTGGTTCTTACTTTTTGTACGCTGCTTCGTCTGCACCCTCCAGACACTGACTGCCTCTCAAGCCGGCTCCCCTGAGAACCTCAAGGTGATACCAACAGAGAACCGTAAGGGCAGGCAGGCAGGCTTGCTCTGCTCCCCACTCCTCCCTCCCTCTGGCCCCCCTGCTTCCTCAGCCTCCCCACTTTGCTCCGTGTACCCTCGTGGTCCAGCCGGAGCTCCTCTTCCAACAGCACCCATTCTGCCCAAGAAAGCAGCTCTGTCAAGTTAGAAAGAGACAATGTATAGGGAAATGTTCTTTTTTAAAAACGAAACAAAAACAAAACAAAAATATTTATTTTGTGATTGTTTTCTTTGTCAATCTGCTCCAGCCACATGAACATATGAGTAAAAGTTTACCTGATTTAATATATTTTCTTAAAAGGTCTTTTTTAGGGGAGAAATGAGAGAGAAAAGAGAAAAAAAAGAGTATAGCTCCTTGGGCTGCCTGGATTTTTTTTTTTTTAATTGCTCTGTGTGTGATAACGTGGGCATTCATGGATGGTGGCTATTGCTGTGGGGGAGGCTGGGTGATTCGTGTATGCTTTCACAAGTGAATGCATGTCAGGCTTGGCTGGTTGTGTGTGTGAGCGTGTGTGTTTATGTGGGGGTTATCTGGCTACCAGTCCCCCCACCCCGCCCCTGCACCTCTTTTCCCAGGCACGAAAAACTAATGCAGGCCCTTCAGCCAGGATTTCCCACTATCAGGAGAGTAGCATCAAAGTCCCTGCTCACAAGGGGGCCCCCAGGCTGCGTGCTGGGCAAGTGTCTGCTAATGGGTACTCCTCTTTGCCAACACTGCCACGGACATCAGGAGAGTCTCCCATGCTCTCTGCATCTTATGGTCCACGATCTCCATTTGAGGAAACTGGGAAGGATGCAGACATGGCATTGGCTTTTCTCCATCCCTTGTGATTACCACCTTCCCAGCCTAAAGAGCAGGTTGGACATACACCACACAGAATAAGGCATCATTCTCACCACAGTGCCTCCCCCAGGTGGTCAGAGAAGCATTTCAGAGCATATCTCTTGGAGAGTCACTTCCCTGTCTATTCTCCACAGGGTCCAAGTATGATGAGGAGGCATGATGACCTGCATTTTCTTCAGGCAAAAGTCACCACATACATACTCAGTACTCCATCCCCTACCTGGGCTGTATCTCAGCTGGTACAAAATGAACTGGGAGACCGAAAGGATGGTCATGTCTATGTGCCCAAGAGCCTTCCATGTTTATTGTTGCATAGAGAAGAATTCAGCATTATATTTAAGCATGGCACATTTCAACCCACAAGGACCTGAAATCCTTGGTAGATCAGCAGCCTCCAGCATTTCTTTCTTCACAATTTCCCTGGAGCCTTCTAGGGTAGAAATCCAGAGCGATGGGAGAATCGAGGGGTGGACACAGGTATTGGCTATTTCTACTCGGCCACTGCTTGCTTTGGGGAATTTATACCAAGCCATCTGTGGAAGATGGAGCCAGCAGATGTCGTCCTGGTCAGTGGGGTACCGATGTGTCAGAGGAGTGTGCTTTTGTTGGGAAAGGGGGTTGTGGTAGGAAGGGATTGACACTTTTCAATGGTGGGGTTTGAGAGGTGCAAGACAGATATTAGAGGTTGATTTTAGCACTGGCTGTGCAGGTCTACATGCTGTAGGATTGGGTGGGCAAAGGCTGTCACCCGTGAATTAAAGGCCCAGCATGCGCAGCAATATTCAGAATGAGGTGGAAAGCAATTGAGAATGTGTTGTGTGCAAGGTCAGCAGAGCGCACCTTCACTGGCGTGAAGGTAGTTGCCCCGGCAAGGAGTGAGCCAGTGCCCGAGGGCTCCCGTCTTCCCTGGGCTGGTGTCACCGTGGGGTAGTGGGAGACCTCAGTTGTCAATCTCTGAATCACACCAAACTGGGGCAAAGTGTACCTATAGAGTTGCGCTTCTTATCTTAAGTAGGGGGTTGTGTCTCGTTATCTTAGACTCCATGTCTTAGGAAGGCCCTGGGAAGATGAAGGTGTGATGTATTAAGGTTTTAGAAATATATGCACTCAGTTATAAGGATTTCTACTTCTTGCCTGCTCAAAGGTTTAAACCATTAAGCTGGGTGTATCAACTCTATTTAAAAACACTATCACACATTAGTAAATATTTAGGAGTGCCCTTGTGAGCCCAGATGCAAGTACTATATGATAGAAGGCCTAAAAGACATTATTAATTAACACAGCAGAAGGAATGTTCATATTTGACCTACCAATCTGTTACCTGTGATGGAAGCTTGACTCTTCTGTTCTGAGACAGTGATAAACAGGTTTCCGGTGTACCAGAGCTTGGGTCAAAGCAACAGACCAAAGATTTTGCTTCTAGAAAGCAAGTGAGAGATGGGAGCACTTTGCTTCTAGAAAGCAAGTGAGAGATGTGGTGGGGGTAAAGGATAGGCAAGATTCCTTAAGAGGTTTCTAAAGGCTTGAAACCATGAATTCAGTATAGAGTTTCTCAGAAAACTAGGCTATGAAATGTCACAATATGAAAAGGCTATCCCTAGTCAAAATTGTCACCTTGGAAGTCTATAATAATCAGAATATGTGAACAACCTATTCTTATACAAAGCTGAAAATAAAGAATTGTCATTAATTAATTAGGACTGAGCTGTCAATGTTGGTGAACTCAATGTAGAATTAAGAGCCAAATCACAATTCAGTTATTGGATATAACAATCAGGAATCCAAGCCTTAATTGTAACCCCGAAGAACGAATACATCAAATGCTAATCTGCCCTAATGCTCAAGACTAATACCTCTAATACTAAATAACACATTTAATGCCCCCTGCTAATAATATAATGCTATGCTCTGCAAGCATATTCATGCATCCACAGCCAAAAAAATAAATGAACATCTCTTCAAGTACAGGGTATCACAAATAGTTCAGATCCAATTCTTGGCTTCTTTTCACAAATATGAAAATAGTCATCAGGATGGGCAGAGCTGCCTTTTGAGTAGATGGAATATATTGCCTCCATAATGTCCTGCCCCCCAAAAAATCACCTTCGAAGCCTGTGACTTCATTGTGTAAATCTGTTCTCTTGCATAGAAGAGAGATCCTTTTTTTTTGCCATTATATTTTGTATGAAAATTAAAATGCCCTTAGGAAGAAATAAGTCTTAGAAGTTAACCCGCTGGCAAAATAGAGTATTAGATTTTTGGAGTTGGCAGGTTTTTAGAGGCCAGACAGTCTACCTGTTTCTGACATGAGGGAGAAGAGGTTAGAGAACTTGCCTGAGGTTCTATCTATCAGCAGTGGAGGAAGAGCAGTCTTCCTTCCCTACCTCTCTCTGCCAGAAAATGACATCTGGGTCCTGGGAGATGACAGGACTTGGGAGTGAGAGGGCAGGGAAGGGATGACCCGTCTCTGGGAAGAAGAGGGCTTCTGAGAGGCAGGAGTATCCTCACATCCTTTCTTGGGAGTGGTTCTAGCAAAAGTAATCGGCTGTTGTTAACTGAAAGGAAAAAACTAAGGTCTCTCCCCCGAGAAGCTTTAAGCACGGAGTAGACATGTTTCCATCTAGGCTGGAGATACAGGGATCAACTTGCTGGGTTCCTGATAACTCTATCAGCTCAATGATTTTTAATTACAACATCGTGCCTCCAATTTCTTGCTGTTTTCTCTACTGCCAATTAAAATTTGAATGCCATTACAAATCTGATAACTTCTGCAAACCATCTTTGCTGTGAAAGCTAGAGATGTCTGGTTACTAACAACACGCAGAAGATGCAGGACCGTGCAGTCCCTGTGGCACACACATAACCTAGGTCTAGAGCCCCGGCAGAGAATAGTAATGAGCCGGCACTCTGCTGTGCATGAAGAGTGCTTGCTCCGCCCAGCAGTGGAGTGAGAATATGGACCAAAGGAGCCATGGAGACACACTGGCTCCTGGCCTGGAAGGATAGGTTGAAAAATTCAAGTTATATGACCAGCCAGCTATAGATACACTCCCTTTTATTAGTTCCTTATTCTGCGTCTGCCACCTGCCACCAGCCAGCTCTGTAACTGAGCAAGTCAATCCACTTCTCTGGGCCCTATTTTGCACCCCCCGCAGGGGATAAAGGAATTAGATTTCTTATGCAGATATTAGGGGTCCTTCTACTGCTGTCTGTTTATGCCGCTAAAGGCAGTGTGGCATAGGAGATGGCGTGGGCCATTGATCACGCAGCCCTGAATTTGCATGTTGGCTCCACACTCATCTTAATTCTTGATTTATCCCCTTACTTGTCACTTAGATGCTTCATCCCCTAAGATTTCCCTAAGATTTTTCTTTCCCTTCTCTTTCTGAACACTCACTCTCTGCACTATTTTGCCCAATCTTTCCCAACTTCCAGAATACATATATACCTTCAATTCCCTAAAACTCAATCCCATTTCTTCCAAGCTCTTTCCTTTCTTCCTTCCCACTTTCCTTCTTCCCTCCTCCTTTCCTCCCACGTCTCCTTCCTCTCCTTTACTTCTCTTTCCCTTTCCTCCCTCTTACTGGTAAGTGCTAGGCACTAGGGTATGTGCAGAATAATCATTTCTGGGCCACGAAGAATTGTACCACAGGATGTGGGGAGATGGAGAAGCAGAAACAAGTCAGGGTGGTGCATTCTCTAGTAGAGATGTGCAAAGCATTGATAGTATACAGAAAGGGAGACAATGACTCCCTGGGAGGCACTAATCTGCTGTGAAACTTCTAATAACTATGCAAGCAATGTCCCAGGTCTCCAGATGTTTTACAGTCAATGGAGGGAAAGACCTAACATACAACGTGCGTGCCCCTTCTCAGAGAGCAGAAACAACCGACAGCAGCAACAGAGCCCCCGAAGGTCCACACTACATCTGGTTGGTGCTCCACTTGTGACTCCTGAGCAACCACATCAGCACCTGATTCTTGCCTCCAAGGCACACTCAGGGGGCAGCTGTGGGAGGTCCATGTGGTACAGTGGCGGCCTACACTCCTTGAGCGGTCAGTATTCTGAAACCAGTGCTTCGCCAACATTAATGTGCGTATGATTTACCTGAAGATTCAGATTCAGCAGGCCCAAGAGAGGCCCCAGATTCTGCACATCTCACTAGCTCCCAGGTGATGCTACGACAGCTGGTCCAGAGACCACACTTGGAGGAGCCAGTTCCCACAGAGTATGTCTGTCATTTCTCTGCAGCACTTGGGACTCTAAAATGGGAGTCTACCAGAAATCAGAGGGGCTAAGAAATCAAAAGGTCAGTAGTGTCTGGCTAGGAGGTGAGGTCCTCACTTACAAACATCGTGGTGCTCTGTAGTTTCTCCACCACATAGGAGCCTACAGATAC